CGCAAGCATGGTCATCAGAAGGAGGGCGCGCGAAGCCACCTCAATGAGAGGGCGAGAGAGGGAGAGAGAGAGAGGGAGAGAGAGAGAGGGAGAGAGAGAGAGAGAGGGAGAGAGAGAGAGGGAGAGAGAGAGAGAGAGAGAGAGAGAAGCAGGATGCACAGGGAGGAGAAAAGGCCAGGCAAGACGACACGCACCGTGATGCCAATCAAATAGAGAACCTGCACACTGATATCCACCCAACTGGCCTGCAGCGGGAGCATGACATTGAACAGCCGATCGAAGAACATGTACCACACCACCGGCACGGCCAGCAGATGGCTCCAGATGTTGATGGTCTCATTGTGTAGGGTGAAAGCGCTGCGCAGGCAGGCCGAGAAGGTGTACCTCCAACGGTAGCCGGTCAGGATGAAAGGATTGCAGGCCAGATACCCGGGAACCTGCTCAATGTCAAAGAGGATCCGGTGGTTCTCCAGCAGCGGACCGCGATACTCGCCGCGGATCTTGGACACGTCGAAGCGCGCCGAGGCAGGCAGGACGCGCAGCGGCATCGGGCTGCAAGCAGACGCGCCCTTGGCAGGGGAGGAGCTGCTCTCCTCGATGTCCATGTTGTAGAAGTCATCGGAGTCGTACTCGTCGACACCGGCATCGGCGGCGGCCTCATCGGCGGCCAGGGCCGCGGCCGCGGCCTCCGGGCCGCAGCAGGAGTTGCCGGGACTGCCATCGCAGCAGCCCAACACCCGGCGCTGCTCGGCCAGGGGAAGCGGATCCACCGAATCCGACTCGTCGATGGCCAGCAGGGGGAACCGATGGCGCGGCCGGTCGGCATGGTGGTGCCGAGCCGCGTCCGGGTCCTCATCGGGCGGGCAGCACAGCGGCGCCCGGGCGCCGGTGAGAATCGGCATCACGGGCACCAACCCCGGGGCCAGGCTGGCCAGGGAGTTGCGCCGCCGAGAGGCCAGTCGGGCGGCCGCGGTGGCGGCCGTGTCATTTTGGAAAAAGGGCCCCCCCTCAATGGGGGAGATCTCGCTGTCGGAATTGTCGCAGGACACCGGCGCCGTGGAGGCGTGCGCCAGGTCGTCGTCGTGATCACCGCCGGCGGGACCATGGCCATGGTCATGGCCCGATGCCGGGGCGTCATCATCGCTCAGGTCGCCGGCCACCGGCAGGGCGGGGGCAGAGCGCGCGTCGGTCGGAGGCCGCTTGCGTAGGCCGGTCGACCGGTCCTCCAGCACGGAGCCCCGCGCCAGCGAGTCATCAGGCCGGCCGCTGTCGGTGGAAGTGGACACACCACGGAGGGCGGCCTCTGCCCCAATGGTGGCTGATGTCTGGAGCATGTCAAGCAGGGGGGACATTCGCGCGCGCAGGCGCAGGAGAAAGGGCACGGGGCAGAAAGAGAGGCTGGCGGGGACGGGGAGAGGGGGGGGGGGGGGGGGGGGCAAGTCAGCTGAGTGCTCCCTGGGGAGGCTTTTTTCCCGAGGGAAGACAGCCATGGAGAGGAGACGCACCTGGCTCGGCTGGAGAGGCACTCGGGCAGAGAGAGAGAGAGAGAGAAACGAGGGGAAGCCGTGCCGAATGCGCGCGATGCAGAGGCGAGAAGACCAAGGGGGAGGGGGCGGCGCAGAGAGGCGAGGCGATGGGCGAGGAAGATGACAAGATGGATGGCAGTAAATGTGGCGGTGACAGCTGGAGCGGACCCCGGGCGCCGGGGCTGCGAGCAGGGAGGTGGCTCTTCGGCCGGCGGGCGGGGGTGGCCCTCCTGCCGCCCCAGTGCCAGGCTTCCCCCCCCCCCCTCGCCCGGGGGTGTTCGCGGCCGGCCGGCAGCG